AAAACCAACCCGGCTGTTTCACTTCAATTCTGGAAACGTTCAATTCTTAGACTCTTCACGTTCTGTTGGGAAAAAATTCAGCACTCTTATTTAGATATCTCTTAAAGATATTAGTCTTGCGGCAGGTTTGCTTACAAATTATAACAGATTAGGGAACCATGCCAGAAAATTAAATCTCGCTTTTAATCATTCCCATCGCAGTTGTGGAAAGAACGATGAAAGTATCTGCTTTGTATTTGAACCTGTCTTTTTAGGGTCTTTGTCAACTCCAGAAAATTGGCTCTTATAAGCATTTTAAGCTTTACCAAAGGATTCAGTGTGGTTTTTAAATCTCTGAGTTTTCTTATACGGTAATACAATGGACCCTAAGTGGAGCCTTAGGATCGCCAGTATAATTTAGTCTAATCTAATGTTAGACCTTCTGTTAACACATGGAATTTATGTACACTACGTTATAATCATTTAATGTGATAACAATTCATAAAATTCCTTTTTTTTGATGATATGAGATTGTTTTATAATAACATAATTTAATCGATTAACATTCCGTTTAAACAAATAAATATAATATTGCCTTGAACTACATGAGAAGACCATTTCCTCACTTGATGTTTATATTTTTTCTAATCTTATACTCGCAATTGCTAAAAAATATCGGACATTTTTATATATTCAAATTTGAAAAACTTTTTTTGGTCAATAACTCTATGGAGGTATTTAACTATAACTATTTATAAGATTTTACTTAACCTGTCTTATATTAAATATATCATCCGTATGAAAAGGTCTTTAGAATTTATTATGTTACTTTTATGTTGACTTTTATTAAAAGACGACCATGCGATATAAAGATGGAAAGTAGTCATAATCTTCAGACTAAAGATAAAAATATGCACACAACGTTATTTTTATTGTAAACAGTGACATTTTGCAATCTTTCCAAATAGTGAGATCCTAATGGAAATAACAATACTTAGTCATCGGAGACAAGTGCTATCGAAAAATAGATTCGGCTGCTTTTAAAGCTATGTGTTTTGTATCATATTATCTTTCATAAAAAAAGCAATATTTTAGATGAGCTTCGCTATTTTTTAGTGATATTGAAAATTCAATAATAATACTTTTGGTGTTATGAATGAAGTAGCTCGTCATGCATACTTCACTGATATGACAAAAATAAAAACTGCGTCTGGGTGGATATGTTGAGTATTCATTCGTCGTTATTATCAATAAATTTGCTTTTTTTTAAACCAGTACGTTTTAAACAGATTTTTTTTTTTTAAATAAGTAAATAATTACTCGTATTAATTTTAAAATGAATGCAAAAATGCATATTCATGTCGATTTCATGCCTGCTCGTCTGTGTATTTATAAGCTATTATTTATTTATTGAATTACTTATTCAGCACTTGAGCCGACATCTCATTCATACATTTTTTATGATATTTGTTATTATCACCGTTTTATTATTATTATTATTATCACAATGTGAAAATATTGACACAAAAGCAGGTGTAGCAAAATACATATGCGCATTGCAGCGTAGACATAAATCAAGTGATTACCATGAATGTCTCTTCTAAAATGCAAATAGAATAGAATAACTGCACGCCACATTATTACTTAATTCTGTACAGTATCTGCTAATACGTAAAAAGTATATCAAAGTATCATGAAAGTATCTACAATGAACGAGTACAAAACAAAACAGCTTACCAATTTGTTCGACATATGTATGTACGTGTAGAGTAGGAAAAAAGGCAAAGGGTTGCTTTCCAAACTTGCAAACTCAATAATTGCACATAATTACTGGTGTAACGCAAGTGAAGCGAGTTCTCTAACGACAGCCCTCTCTTCACCGGGAGAGCTCAGAGCTAGCAAATTACAAACAGTAATTACACTACGATTCAATTGTTATTATGCATGTACTATTTGTCATACTATTTGTCATTAAGTTGAAAAAAAGGTGGAGGGGGTAACAAAAATGCTACTGAAATGATTTTTTCTAGAGTAACAATTGAAAAAATGTAATTTTTATTAAAAAGTTTAGTTAACCACAAAATATTTTTTGAAAGTTCATAGTGACACACATTATCCTTTCCTTTATTCATTCACAATAGGGACTTCACATGGTTCCACGTTTCTATGTTCAATATTTCAGCTGTCAAATAATTTCCTGCTGTTTATTTATTTAAATTCTTTATTAGATATTTTCATATTTTGTATGGATTGAATTTTAAAAATTCGCTACAAATGGTGGACTGTTTTCTTTTATTATACTTTACTGATATATAGAGTATTGTTAGAGTATTATAAATACATATATGTAAATTTCATCCTTCATTATATGTACATTCAAAATCATTGTTCCAGAAAAGTGCACATTTATTTGACTGGGGGCCTTATAGTATATTTAAATAATTATTAAAATAACTTTTAAGAAGATAAATATACTGCAAGCATCATTATGATGAAAAAATTTACAATAATTATTAGAACAGATGATCTCACATTGCGACAAAGCCAATCTATTGCGCCACAGTTGTTTCTACTATCAATAGAAGTTCAGTCTAGAACCTTACTTCGTTACAGTTCAACCCGTCAAGATTAAACACTGCTTTAACTAGTGTTTTCAGTTTTTAAATTTGCATATAATTATTTACTTTATAAATCTGAAAAAATTATTTTTCTGATCGCATATAGTTTTATTCAATAAAAAAAATCAACTCAATCCTCCAATTCATACACTTTATTCTATTATTTCCAATGCCATTAATTTTCACTTTTTTATTATCATTTCCCAATTATTCACATCAATCCTAATGTCGTTCACCGTTTTTGAACGACAGTGCAATATATTTATTCACTGTAATAGACGCTTGTGTCGATAGATTTCAGTACATTTTTTTCCCTACAAGATTCGTTTTAGTGACGCAAAAATTAGGAACAGAGAAAAATGTATCTCTGCAACTGTAAATGAAATCATGCATGCTTATCCTGCTACGGAATATGCAATTGAAGCGAAAAGAAGTGTCTGAGTACGTTTCATTCTGCTATTCTAGAGCAGACACACTCAAAACACTTCCCAAGCAAAGTGTGGAAAAAATATTCATAAATGTATATTGAACCTTCAAAGGTTCAAATATAACCGAATTTTCCATTGGATTTTCTAATTAGAATCATAAAAAAGAAAAACTGTTAAAGGAAAGCAGAAAAAGATGAGCACATCTGCGATACTCTCAAACCTAGAACACGGCAATTGGAATTTATTATTAGTTATTTTTATGAATTTTCACGTTTTGTGCACACCGCAAGGACTCGGGAAGGGAAGCAGGCAATCGCATTGAAAATATAAAATTATTAATGGAATTAAGGAACTGTGGTGGAACTGTAGCTGTATCTGTAGCTGTAGCTGGTTCAGAGCAGCTGAAACATGTACGCCGACAATTTTTTTTGATAGTTGCAGAAACCTTCTTTCGTACACACACCTTCATACGTACATTTACTAAAATACAATAAAACACTGCCCTGCCCTATGCTACCTTACACTACCCTGTGTACACTGAACCTTACTTTCGATACCGCTTCACAGCCATCCTTCATAAAGCACAACAAGGATACGTACTAGTACGTAGTACGTACGTGTGTAAGGCGAGCAAGTAAAACGGCGGCGTTAGTTCGTTATGCAGACAGGCCAGCCTGTTCGTCGGTTTGTCTGTTATTATTCTATTTCATATTTACGAGATACTTTTTTCATTTATGTTTATTGATGTGCGTGCATATGCATTTTTCCGTAAATAAACTGTCGTCATCGGCAGTTGATTCCGGGGTTGCAGTTGCCGCAAAACATTTGAAATTGTTTTTCGTAAATGGAATTTTCGTAGAAAAATTCCTAACATTCCAAAGGGTACCCTTCATTTCACTTAACAAAAATTAATAGAACTTATGATTATTTAGTAATTAAAAAGATAAAAGAAAAATAGAGAACTGTATTCGAAGAACGTTGGCTGGCTAGCAATAAAGTTGATGACAATAAAGAAGGAACTGCAAAAACGAAAATCCATTAGGAGTTACGTGGAAAAATACTCGTATTTATTGGTGTTTTACATACAGTTCAAGACCAAATTATTTCCTTTACATAATTTAACATATATATTATTTTATTATATACATGTTTTTATATTAAAACCGTATAGAGTTTGAGGTCAAACGTAATGCGGTCTCGTAATCCGGAATTTTGTTATATCATGTTTGCTATGATTCAGCAAATTTACCGGCTGTGTTGTGACTTCTGTCAAATTTATTTTTATCAACGAAATTAAATTTTCCGACTCACTCATTTATAACATAATTAACTCACTCATTTATAAAATTCCACTCAAACTCATTCGCACAGCAAAAAAATAACATTTTTCCAATAGTCGTACTCGCATACCACGAGGGAGGATTGCTATGTGACTGCATATAATTCATAAAGGATCTCAATTCTCCTGATTGCCGTCGCCATCCTTTAAAGCGTTTTTTATTTTTTTCTATGGAAAACAGTTTAGTGGCAGTACTCATAAGCAACGGTCGCATGGACTGGCAATTATGACTGGGTATAAAGTATTAGAGCGTTGGTTTCCGCTATGTGAGATGTGATTTATTAAACGATATATGTTCCTTTTACGAAAGATTTTCGTATACTTGTGTTAAAATTAAAATAATTTAAATATTATTAATTATAATAATATATACAAAAATATTACTGAAATTCCAACAAAAATTATCAGTGACAGCTGCAGGCGTTAGTGTAGCTTTATTTTGAATTCCGAATTTCCGTAAACAAATGTTGTCAGCAACCCCCTAAATCCGATTTCCATATATTGTGTTTATATATTACAAATAAGTGCGTTTATATATATAAAATTACTTGCTTCTAAAGTGTGTTTATTTATAAATAAAAACGAAAAGTTTTCAAAATTTTCATTAAAAGTAGTGATCAAAACGGCTCCAACGTGGCGCCGTTATCGAAAAATTTGGATTATTTGGAGGAATTCCGGGCACTATCCGGTAAGTAATAGAAAATGATATATACCTAAATATCATCAAAAAAAAACTGTAATTAAAGCAGAAAACGACTAATTGATTAAATGTAATTAAAATACAAAAGTAATTGCCTTAGGTTGTTTATGAAATATAATAATAATACTGCAAGTTTGAAAAAGTTCATATCCCTCTAAGACAGTTCAAGCAGAACTATTTGATGTACTTCAATATAGGGTTGCATATTGTAGTATCAATCAGTTTCTTAAATACTCCTCTGTACTTGTGAAGATAGTTAATGATAAAAAATATAGTTTATTTTAATATATATTAGTATTTCTGTGAATTGGGAATAATTAGTCTTTAAAGGATATAAATCCAAGGTGTGAAGTTTTGAGTTTAAATAAATTAGGCGAACATATAGTTATAGTTAACTTAATATAAAAGATGTGAGAAATAAAGCTTTGCAAACCATTATCTTGCATGTTTAAAGTGTTACATTGGAGTTTATGTATCACTTAAACTTTTTTATAAATATATGACAATGAACAATATGAAAATGACTATCTATTTCATCGGATTTAAAATGACAAAGAGAAAATAAAATTGAATTTTTTTGCGTACCTATATATCCATTAAATACTAATTATATTAGTTGGCAAAATGTTATCACTCTCTTTAAAATTAAAGAAGTCTGACTGTGTATTATTCTATCTAGAACTATAATATAGAGCCGAAATAGGTAATATGATCTCATTTGTAATCAGAGACTATACCGTTTAATCGGCATTTTTTGCTGTAACGATTATGCCAAGAGAATATAGAAGTTTAATTAAAATATTTAAGATAGCCTTCGTTGAATTCTTCGATAACTATCAGAAATTGATATCGTAAGCCTCATAAGTGCACGTATCATAGTAATTTTTACTACAAAGAATACTAAATCACTAGATCGAAAGACATCTAACAATGTAAGGTCAAGGCAAACGCAACGGTCCCATTGATGGCCAATGCGATATAAACCATGTATGGTATAAACGTGATCACATCTCCACTTGTAAATTTCCTAATAAAATAACATGAACACAATTTAGTAAATTTTTTTCTTCACAAATATTGATATTGGAACCTTCATATATATATATATCATAGCAAATTTTAGTACAAAGAGTACTAAATAGTTAGAAAAAAAACATCTTAGATATAGGAGCTAAAGGAGAACGCACGAATGAATAGACAATCTACGCGGTGTTTATCGCACCTACTCTCTTATATCTATATACATACTCTAAAAACATGAAAACAGTTTAGTAAATGTTTTTCTTTGCAAGTGTTAATACAATTATTTCTTTTTGAAAGACAGAATTATAAATATAAAAAATTATTACAAATTGGTATGTAAAAAATGATTCATAAAATATATAAAATAAAATATATTCACTTTGCAAATAAATCATAGCTTAACTTCTATTGAACTATCCAATATAAACTGTATTGTCGCACATATATACAGTAAGATATAAAGTGAGAGAAAGAAACATCTGCTATTTGGTTCATTCATAAATTTTATGCAAAAATATCTATAGATATATAGTATATGTGTATATAAATATATAGACACATCACTCAAATAGTTTAAATGTTAATTGCATAAATAGCTATTGTGAATACCCTAATGTACCGCACCTCTTCCAGTTGCAACTGCATGTTATGTATTATATGCAACCCTTTACCCAAAAACGTCACAATGCATCTGTTCTATGCCTACAGTCTGTTATCAGCACTTGACATTAACCCTTTTTAAGATTTTTCAACAAAAGGCAATTGTTGTTGTTGTTTTTGTTTATTTTTTATTAAAAAATTTTACCACACTTTCACTATTTTCAATTTGTAGTAAAAATGTTAAAAAATCACAAAAAATATATATTCAAAAGAAGCGATTGTTTTATATTAAATAAACCGCAGTTAAACTTCAAATAAGGACACGCTAAGGATGAACTAAAGTAGTAATGAGGGTGATCTAATATTTTGAACAAATGCAAAATAAGCAAGAACAAGAGAACAACAGTTGAAATTTCCACATAAAAAGAACAAAACCAGACAACCATCATCATGTTCATCAAATTTTTTTCCACAGCAGATAGAAATTCTTTGAAACATTTCGCAAATCCCTTTGTATCTGTGATCCTACTTGCCTTGCGAACCCTGTATTGTCAGGAATAGAGAGCTTTCAAGCGCAAAAATTTCAAAAATGAAAACAAATTTTTGTGTCCTTTGCTCTTCTGCGTAAACATACGCACTTCAAACGCGTGTGCATAAATTTCGTATGAGATGAAGGACGTTGATTTTCCTTTTCCCAAGTTTTTGTACTTATTTTTTGCACATTAATATGACATCAATGACACCCTTGTCCTAAAATCCATCTATCCACCAAGCAAAAAAAAAAAAACACAAAAAACAAAAATAAAAGAAATGGCAAAAGGGAGTGAATCATTATGCTATTTGCTACTTGTGTCACATTTGAATGAATTGAATTGAACCAAACCAAACCGAACCGAACCAAACCGAACTGAACTGAACTGAAATGAGCTGAATTGAGCTCAACCCAGCCCTACTGTTGATATCCTTATCCTTATCCTTATTGCTGCGTTGTCAATTGAAATCCTTGCGATAATCGCAGTCATTATAATCATTGTGCGTTACGTTTAATTTTTCATTTCTACTAAATTTATTAAATGAAAAAGTACTTGAGTATGCATTCGAGTGGATTTTTACATATCAAAGCAAATTTAATAGATTTTTGTTTTTCGGTCCGCTCGCATCCATGAATGGTAATGGGAACAGACAATATGTTTGTAACTCTGAAGCGCTGAGATAATGTGCACTTCGATAGGAAAGTTAATTTCTTTTACGACTAAATTTAATAATTCGAAGATATGTTGTTTTTTATTTCAATTGCAGAACCACTCCTCATTTCACACACTCCCAACCAACCCAACAAACTCTTTTTGTGGTTTCGAGTCGACTCGATTCGATTCAGTGGTGTCTCTGTTTATTTACCAAAATCCAAAATATAAAAAACTTCATAACATTTTTATTGTTTTTATTCATTTGTTTTTGTTATTTTGAACAGTTTTTTTTACCTTTTCATTGGTATGCTTGGAATTTCAAAAAAGGTAGATGCTTCAAATTCTTATTGCCCAAAACAAAATTTGAATTTCAAAATTAATTTCTGTTTTGAAATTCCTACCACAGCTGCAGCTTTAACTTTAACTTTAACTGTACAAATGAGCTTCAGCTTACCAATCGGCGTTCAAAGGAAAACGTAGTTCGTTTGTGAGCTCATTTCGTATTACTGGTTTTCCCCTTTCTTACATTTGCATAAATTTATTTCACTTATTCCATTTATTTTGTTTATTTGATATGATTATATTTTTGATATGCTAAACAGGTGTCATTTTGACTGACCAGAATTCAGTTTTGTATAATTCATAAGTTTCTAAATTAAAGTAATTCTTATCTGATGGCTAATCTAAGAGCTCTAAAATAATGACTACAGATGAAGTGTTAATAAATCTATTTATAGAATTGTTTAAACGAGTATTGTACGTATTCGAACCTTTGTTGGTACTCTAACATAATGGTTATATTGGGGTTGGGTGCAGTTCGAGCACCATATAGTTCGATCACCACATTATGGTCGAGCATTTTTAGTTATATATGAAACAAATATACAATAAAATAAAATATAAAACATATTTGTTATCATCATTAGCGAACGTTTAAAGTATTCCATCCAAGTTTTTGAATTTAGAGTGTTCGAGAGTACTCGAGCTGCTCGAGAATCGTAATGATCGACACTGTGAGGTTCTAAGTATGTAAAAGACTATTGCAGACTATTAAAAGACTATTTCAAATAAAAATTTTATGTTAAAATTACAACATATTTTATATTATATAGTAAACGCCTTCACAAGGACACATCGATGGGACTAGCAATTTTGTCTGATTAAGAAAATCGTACGTATGAAAATTGAACGTTGGCGATTAACAAAATTGTATGGTTAAGACATATGAGAGCACCGTTTAACATAGTTTTTAATGTAGATCTGTTTTCGTAGAAGATATTTTTTTAACATTCAAAGTATTTTCAATCCTGACAATAACTTTTTTGCTTTCTTCGTTATCGTTGTCATTCTAATGATGTTGGTTTCTTTTTAACTTATTTTGTGAATTTTTGATGTTGTTAGCTAGCGCTTTATCTTGATTTTGGTACAATTTGGTTTGCTCGTTTTAGGTGCTGTTAGCTGTTTTTGACTTTTGCTTATTTTACCATATGAACTGATTTGAGAGCATCAAATATTTTCAATGCAATTCAGTAAGTAGAATTACTCAAATGATGTTAAACCTACTTGGATTTCCATAGCATATATGTATATGTATTGAGATTTCTTTTCCTTTGCGATACTTATGTTAATTAATTTTGATTTTCGATAAACCTACAACAGGTTAAAACATATATGCCCTGCATAATTGCTAATGTCTACTCCTCATCAATTTGCCATTAATCTTCACAAGCTAAAGCTAAAATGAAGATAGCAGTCAGTAGTCTGTGGAAAACGCGATTTTTATGAAATGTTAAGATTAGAATAATCCAGCATTTCGCTACGGAACCCTTCTGTACTCAAATACATAAGACGAAAAACGCGAAGAAAAACATTTCATTAAGCATGTAAAACACGTTTTCCGCGTTAGGGTTAATGCCTTACAAATTAATACGCAGTTTGTAAGACATTAAAACAACAACAGCAGCAGCAGCAGCAGCGGCGGCAACAACAACAATTTTGAGTCACAATGCAGACTTATTGACTGCCATTTTAAGCCAGGCTTGTGTTTATCTTATTAACGTTTTTGTTTTCATATTTTTTCTTTTGATTCGACGACGCATTAATTAAGTCGCCGCAAGAAATGTTAAACGGCAGAAATGAAAAAGTTTATTGTTTCCCATCCGACTAAGGAAATTTTCT